TGCCCGCTGTGGAAAAAGGAAAACCCTCACAACTACGGTGGACACCTGCTTGCTGTCCACCTTATGGTCTGCTTGCCTGTTGTGCTTGCCTCTATCCATGCTTCTAGTTGTGCTTATTTATACGATACTAATTTTATGTGAATTAGGGGCATCGAAATTACTTTAGTGACGTCGATACGTTTTGGAGGGAAATTGAATTACACCAGGAACTGTATTAAATTGAGGTTTTTTATTTACTAGTTTTTCTGATATATCTAATCAAACTTGTGCTTATATTGACTGTATTTTTTTTATGATAACAGGAAAAAGCTTCTAGATCAGTAATGCGTGGCACCATAAAAGTTGTCGATACTGCCATCGAAAAACGCTTGTTCCACCATCGAGAACGTCAATACTAGACTGGTAGGAATATATTGTTGTAATCATGGAATTAATAGAAGGATGAAACCAAAATGACTATTGTTTACCCTCATATATTATTATTTTAGACGAACCCAGGAAAACGTGTAAATAATGTCACAGTCCCCAAAGACAACAAAAAAGTCAGTATGAAAATTGAAAATCTTTTAACCGTGAAATATCTTCTCACCTTTTCCTATTTGTTGATAGATTAAATGTTCCTCCATATCTGACACATCGTCTATCAATGAAAAGAGCGAAGCTGACATAAAACAAAATGAAAATATGAACGAGAAAAATCGAGAAGACGGCACCGATCTCAAGATGAAAAAGGTACTATATCTATAATATATTGCCAAATAAATTGTTTTTGCTACAGTTTCGCTAAATTACTGACACAATCATTCGAATTAACTCAGATTCAGAGAATGGTTTGGGTGATGCATCGGAATCGATGGTTGGGAGAATAGAAAGAACTCCATTGACAGTGGACGACATCGATCTGGAGGAAGTTTTTAAAGATTACTATGATGAATGCGAAGACAATTGTGAGTAAGGTCATCTCTTGTAACTCGAAATAGTAGTCTTATTTATCATCAATAATGGTTATTAGTTTATGTCATAGCGATATCATGGATATGAGGCCAACTTAACGCTTCACGGATAAAATTGCGGAAGAATATTGGGATAAATTCGTGCTAGGTACATATTCCAAGCATAATATACCTGAGGAATGGGTGAAATTCATACAAGAATTTTTCAAGGTATGTCACAAAAATCGGTTTTGGTTTGCTTATCTTCGTTACTCATTTTGTCTATTGATTCTAAAAAACAGCCGAGAGTTAGCCTAGAAGAATGGACAAAGGCTTGGCGTGGACTTCATGAAAAGATCGACGAAAACAAAAAAGACCCAGTGGATGCTATCTACAACATCCTTGGACCATAGTATGTCTCCTTTACCATCCTTTTATCCATTGTATGCAAATTTTATAACATGAATTGGGTTCTTTTTAGCATCAAAGCTTTTGAAGCACCATTCAACATCTTAAAGTCAGGTGATCTCCATGAAAATCAATACAATGCACAATTCATAAGTCCGATATTAGGAAATACAATGAATACTGTATGTGGCGTTGACTGGAGAATGTAAGTCCCGATTATACATCTGGGAAAATATCCATTTGCTGTGATTAACTTTTGAAATTACACTGTTATAGTCTTGAAATTCCGGTAGAAAGTAGCAAAGCTCGTCGCAATACATGTATAAATCCAATCGTTGATAAAGTTTTAGAAGCAAAGTGCGCAGATTGGCTTGCTCGTCTCTGGCTAAGTCGTTAAGAAGTATTCTTGTATGAACAGACAGGATTCCCTGATTTTGATGATATTACTCAGTTTCATATTCACGATTATAAATTGGTCAGAACAATGCGAGATGTATTGAATCAACGAATAGTTGTATCTGTAACATCACACCCTTCAAGATGACATATCTTTAAATCTCGACACAGATTCACTAATATAGAAATACATTCGTCAGTTATATGGAGCCATGATATATTTAGAAATTCGAGTTTAGGACACGATCTTGCAATAGCCTTTATAGATATATCAAAATTAATATCTATACTGATATTATCATAATCTATGAAAGAAAAGCAATGCATATGGGGTGTGAAATAGCTATAGCACAAATTCCATCATTTGTAATATTGCATGATTCACACAAGGATAGATGACAAAGATTTGGACAAGAATATGCAATTTCTTTCAATGATAAATCAGTAACATTTGGACCTCATATATTAACATATTTTAACTTTTGACATAATTTAGTGATTTCAATAACTGAAGTATCCGAAATATTAACACTATATCCTAAGTTAAGATAAGTCAGATTCGGATATGAGACTGCAATTTTATAGAGAGTTTTATCCTTAATATGATAAGAATAAATATCTCCCCTATTATTGCATAGTTTAAGATATCTTAATTTTGAATGTACAATTTTTCCAATAATTTTACTAGAGAATTCATTACAATCGCTTATAATTAAACGGTATAAGTTTGGGAATAAATTTCCAATATGATATAGGGTATTATTAGTAACTTCACACTTTTAAATAAAAAGACAACTCAACCTTGATGCATAAAAAGGTGATTGTGTATTTATTGATTTTGTAAATCTTTCCCATGACCTGTAACAGTTTTTTTTACTGCTATAGAAACAAGCTTCTTTCCATAATATTGGAATAGAATACATGTACCACAATCGATTGACAAATAAGCTTGGATATAAAGCTCCATCTGTGTCAAGATGATAAAATATATCGGTTAAAATCTCAGATAAGTTTAGTGGATGTATTTTATTATATGTCATACTTACAATTCATTTTTTATCCTATAAATAACCTTTCTCAATTAAAATGTTTTAGATAAAATCATATAAATTTGTATCATATGGTATTTCAATAAGATCTATACCTCGCTCTTTGCATATATCACATTTTTTTTATCACGACTTTTTATATATCTAGGTTGACCTTACCATTGGGGTAAAAATTTTTTGGAATAACATAAAAATGTTGAATGCCATAAAATTAAATGCCAATTTTAATTCTTTGTATATCCATCTAATTGTATCCCATTTAAAAACGACAGTCTACAGGATAGAAATTTCTTACATAATAGATCTTTAAAAATATATCAAGCAAATCTCATACCTTTATTATATTGACATAGGAGGTACCACTCAAATTTATCTGTAATCAATGGATATGGATATTTTCATTGATGCTTTCCATTTTCACATGACCAAAGATATATATCAAAATCATTTATTTGACCAGCTTTATCAAGACATCTCCTATCATGCTTCTTTGCATACTTTTTAGCCTTGGTCACTTTATTAATAATACAAATGAAATTAATAAACCTGGAACAAGTATTTTTTTCCAATATACTCTGGGGCAGATATTGAAGTTTTTTTAGATCTATATGCATTGGTTCTTCATGTACAAATCTCCATTTTGGAAGATATTCCATATCATCAATTATGAGATAATATAAAACTGGTTCATTTTTTATTATAACAATTTTGTGAATTTTATGAAGACTTGATGAAAATGTTGGATTTGTAACTCTTTTCTAATTTTCCATACCACCTTCACATTTCCCATTGACTAACAAATAACAGACTGTATCACCTTTCTTTAATCCATTCTTCTCATGTTTTCCAACTGGACACTTATACTTTATAAATGGCCTAAATTTTACCTATTTTAGTTTGATAGTTTTTGCTAAAGCCAATTCCTATTTTGATAAGTCTAGAGCTTAAATAAAACATTTCAGATAATTATTTAGGTAATTAATAACCTCTGGCAATTACTTAACCACTCTCTTATTAATTTTAAGATTTTAAGTTAAACTTTCAACAGCATATTGGACCTTATATAATATTTCTGCTAGAGTTTTATTAAATTGTTTCACAATGGCCATGTCATGATAGCTGTATATACCAATAACTCATATTATTACATTATACTCTTGCATAAGCTTGTAAGTTTCACTTATAAATTCTTTTCCATCGTTAGATTATAATAAATCAAACCTGATAAGAGAGATATTCAGATTGTCATAAATTTTCTTAAATGCCTTAGCTATCTCAGAACTGTTTTTTGAAGCTAGAGAAATAGTGTATTTAAAATTAGATGCAACATCTATAATAGTAAGTGCCTATTTATATATCTTTTTATTAATGATATTATTTATAAAGCATAACAAATTACACATATATATGTAGTTTGATGTGAAATTTTTTTATACCCAACCTTTGAAATATTTTTTAGCAATAGAGTATTTTTTTGCTATTTATTCTGGTTTATAAGCCAGTTATATACTTTTTTAAATAAAATCAGTGCCCTTTATTCTTGAGATCTTTATATAATTTTCCAAAATTGAAATAATAACCAGATAGCTGATAAAAAAATAGCTGGAAAACTAGATTTAACTTCTCAGAAAGATCGATTCTGATAATATATTTACTTAGTTTACTTATTTCTGATATTACTTATTATAATAAAAATTATATCTAGCAAAGTCACTACAATATACCATAAAAATAACTATAATATTTGATAGATCTTGACCTCCAATTAAACAAGCCACATATTAGCATCTGATTGAGAACTAGAATTGAAGCAGGTAAATTAAAAACTCCAGAAAATATTGCATTCAAAGATAGTTACTAACAAATCAAATAAAAATGAACTGGTACATAAGTATATCTAGTGTGAAAAAGAATTCCAATTTCTTAATAAAGAACCGGAACTGCTTGAGAAGACTTCAAAGGAAGAAAAGGCAAAGCTAAGATTGAAGATATCATCTCTTAAAAGAAGCTTATACTAGGCTAAATAAAAGATATAAGATAAGATATCCTATATTGGTAATATAGAGAGCTAGTTATAAGAATCTGAGAATGAGTTCAATATCTAAAAAATTAAATCAAAGTTATTTTTTCAGAAAAAATTCTTCAGTCAGGAAAATTTTTCAGATCTTTTATATATACATATAACAAATTTTAATCTTTTTATACAAATTGAATAAGAATTAAACTGTATTGAAAATTATTTTGGAAGTGATACACTACTAAATAATATTATCAATATTATAGAAGAAATTTGTGGATCTTTAAATACTGTTTGACTTAATTATCAAAATGCTTATCATGGTATGAATAGTATTATAGCACAACAGGATAATTAAGATAATCAGATATTACAGTTACAACAAGATATCAATAGATATAGACAACTTGATACACTTCAGCAAAATCATATTAATCAATTTATCCAGAATAGTATTAATCTGCAGAATAATATTAACTGGCTTATTTAAAAATATAATAATTCTCAAAATAATCTTACTTTAATGATTATGGCTTATAATAATAAGTAAGAAGAATATTAATAATGACAGGAAATTGCATAACAATTAAAAGTAGGAATGCAAATATGGATTAATACTTTATTACTTAAAAAATTTATACTTAATTTTAATCTTCAGAAATGCCAAAGACATAATAAACAATTTTAACAAAAATATGATATACAAAAATATTTGTAATATAATACAAGTCTGATATGGAAAGATCAATATAAACTTAAGTATGCTTTTAAAATTATTTATAAAGTATCTATTTATTAATTAAAGTAGGAGTTGCAACAATGTAATAATTAAAGATAGGTTCCTAAACTGTTTAGCATTGTGAATAGAGAAGGTATAATAAGAAATAGACACATAACGCGATCCGCGTGTCACATGTCTAAAATTCAGAAATGCTATGTTGAAAATAAAGTAGTTTATACGATAGTCTATTGGTAAGCTTAAAAGTTTAAATTCATAATGTCAGCGATAGTCTATTCTAATATAGAATTAGGTTATAAAAGAACAATGTACTCATATAAAAGAAAGGAGCAAAAAACAAACTGACAATAAAATAAGAAAACTGAACCTTCAAAAGTATCGCACTCCATAGTGAGACACTAATTATGAATTACTAAATTAGTAATACGATCAGTGATGCCAAAGAAGGGAATTTCCAATTAATAAACTTATCTCGTTTAGTACTGCTAGCTTGGAAAGAGGATAATCCGAAGGGCTATGAAAGAACGGTGGCAAAAGAATATTAGTAAAAGCACAAGGGCGAGGAACAAGAGAAACATTAATTAAAAGAAAACCCAGCCAAGTCAAATCACATGTCTCGACTAAAGAAACCTACTCACCTGAACGTTACGCAAGTGCTAGTTCAAGAAGCAACAGACTCACCGAAAATCACGTTCACAGCATATAAAATTTCATAGATCAATTATATTTCTTTTGAAGAGAACACAACTATTTACTTATTATTTTAATAGGGACAAAACTTAAAAAATACTTGAATTCAATGACTTAAATTGCAAAAAACCTTTGTGTAGTTTTTTTTTTATTGTTATATTAAAAAAAAAACTTTTTTAATAGTAAAAACTATTTGTTTTATGATTTCATTCTTAATTTAAGGATATATCTTTAGTAATAAGAATAAGGTTTTTTTATAATTTTGATATGATCATGTTGTTTCGAGTTATAAAAAATGAAAAAATAGAATACATGATGCTAGGCAATTAATTTTGAATTTAAATTAACAAATTTTTGTGCTTTAAAATAATTTGCCTATAAATAGGATTCCTAATGGTACCATTTCAGTATCAAGTCAATATTGGATTTACTATAAGTTTAATATAATAAGTCACAACTCATATATTAACTTTATTATAAGTCAGTATCAAGTCAGTACCATTTCA